AGTCCCGAGTGTGTATCCTCCGACCAGGGGAGGGGACAGAGTGGGGGCTGGGTGAGAACTGCAGGGCTCCTCGCTTCTAACCGGGGGCAGGTCTGTGGAGAAAAGACCAGGCAGAGCCCAGCCAGATTTGCACAGAGCCGAGGTCGGCAGGAAGAAGCCCCCGGTCATCCCTTCTGAGCATTGAGTCATGGTCATCCGACACTGAGTCTCAGAGGGGGCTGAACCCCTCCCTGCCGGCCGAGCCTCTCCCTCAGATGCTCCCTTCTCTAACGTCTCCTGGGGGCTTGAGCTGTGGCCCTCTCCTCCGCCCAGTGCAGAAGCCCCTTGGGTCCAGCTGCAGGGTCACTGCTGCCCCCAGCATGGGCCCTGGGTTGTGCTCCCCTCTCTGGGTTTCTCCTTACACAGTGACAAACCAGGAAGAATCGAAGTCCCTTTGATGAGGAGAGAGGCGGAGTCTAAGCACTGATGGGGGAGCCGTGGGCCTGGTGTTGGGGTGACGTGAGGAATTGTCCTTTCTCCCTTCTGTCAGAGCAGGAGGGCTTATAGGCAGGGCTCTGGCTCCTTCTCCCACTGAGCTCCCTCCTTGCCCTTGGGGACATGCAGTGCTAATTAGGAGCAGGAAAATAATTGCCTGTTAGAGAGAACGGGTGACACCCGCTGGCCCTGGGAGAGGTTCTGCTTGTTAGGCCTGGCCAGCCCCTCCTCCCCTTCCTCTTTTTCCTTTGCCTTCCTGGTCCCCCTCCCTCTCCCATCTTCCACTCTTCTCCCTTCCTCTCCCCTCCCCCTTCTTCCCCAGCACCCCAAGATTCCTCCTAGCTCCCGAGGAGGGCTCCGGGAAAGGTTCCAGGGGTGACCTGCTAACAAAAACCCTCCAAGTTTGGGTCTCCCAGGAGTTGCTTTTGCTGGGCTGGACAACGTTTTCTGTAACCTAATCGAGGCCAGCTGCCCCGCTGGAAAGAGGCCCCGGGCTCCAGGGTCCCAGGGCCTGCAGAGGGGCCGAGGTTCACAGAACAGGAGGCCGGAGGAGGCTTGAGAGAGGGAAACGGGGGAGCTGGTGGCACCACCATGGCCTGAGCTCTTGGAGGGTCCATCCTTGCTGGGCTGGCCTTTTCCTTTTTGGGGTAGACTGAAAGGAGAACTTGTCCAGGAGACAAACTAGAAGTGAAGGATACCTGCGGGGAGCACTGGATGTTAGCCGGTCTCCAGTCCACTCAGGAGGTTTGTCTGAAGTTTGGTTATATATTTTTTTGGCGGGGGGAGCAGTTTGCGTTGGAGTCTTACTCTGTCACCCAGACTGGAGTGCAGTGGCCTCCCAAAGCGCTGGGATTTCAGGCTGAGCCACCGAGCCTGGCCTGTTTTATTTCTTTCATTAAAAATAACTAACAGGAAAAAGCACAGTCTTACATATGCAGCTTTACGAAGGTATACGCGTATGTGTGAGAGAGAGAGAACACGGGTATGACACCCTCCCCCTGGATCCTGACACCCGCCCCGCCAACCCCCAGCTTCCCTCCTGCTCCCTCATAGTCAGTGCCCTCCCCAGAGGACTGTTCGCACCTCTGTGGCTGTAGATGAGTATCTCTGACTTTGAACTTCATACGAACTCAACCATACCATGGTCTCTGCGCTCCTGTGTCTGGCTTTTTCCCTCCACCTGACCTCCGCGAGATTCATCCACATCACTGTGTAGCTTTGTTTTTCTCTTCATGGCTGTGTAGTGCTCTGCTTTATGGCGATGGCCCATTCTGTATCGGTTCTTTTGGTGGACTTCAGGGTCGTTTCGGGTGTTCAGCTGTTCCCCATACACAAAGCCTCTGTGGACATTTGATTGTGTCTTTTCGGGGGACAGGACTCCTCTCTCCTGTAAAGTAGAATTGCTGGGTCTTGGTATGCCTGTTGGACAATGGCTAGCAGATTGTTTTGTGTTGCTTTTGTTTTTTTGTTTTTGGAGATGGGGTCTCCTTGTGTTGGCCAGGCTGGACTCAAGCTCCTAGGCTCAAGTGATCCTGAGACTACAGGCGTGCGCCACCATGCCTAGCTGGTTTGCAAATTGTTAAGAGGATCCTGGGGTTTTTTAGCAGAGGGGCCTGGGGGCCTGCTGGGTGGTGGCCCCAGTCGAGCGGGACATTTCCATCCACTAAATGATCAAATGTAATTTCAGGGCCCTGCTAAAACAATCAGCTTGAAGAAAAGGCAAGCTTGCTGGGAAAAAGTTTGAGAAATTCTTTGATAAGAATGCAGGCTTTCCAGACTTTGATGGCCTGCAAATAGCCTGGGGTCATCTCTAGTTGGAGTTCTGGTTCAGAGGACTAGGGTAGGGCTTGAGATTCTGCATCTTTTTTTTTTTAAATGACCTGGAGCCAGGCATGATGGATCACGCCTGTAATCCCAGCACTTTGGGAGGTGGAGGTGAGAGGATTGCCTGAGCCCGCGGGTTCGAAACCAACCTGGGCAATATGGCAAGACCTTGTCTCTATAATAAATCAAAAAATTATCCAGGCTTAGTGGCGCACGCCTGTGGTTTCAGCTGCTTGGGAGGCTGAGGCTGCCGTGGCTGTGAGCATGCCACTGCACTCCAACCTGGGCGACAAGTTAATGAGAGACCTGTACTCATTAACTAAATAAATAAATAAATTGAGTGGGATCTCACTCTGTCACCCAGGCTGGAGTGCAGTGGTGTGATCATAACTTATCGCAGCCTCAACCTCCTGGGCTCAGGCAGTCCATCCACCTCAGCCTCCCAAGTAGCTGGGACTATAGGTTCACACCACCACGCCCAGCTAACTTTTTTTTTTTTTTTTGGTAGAGACAAAATCTCACCATATTGCCCAGGCTGGTCTCAAACTCCTGGGTTCAAGCAGTCCTCCTATCACAGCCTCCTAAAGTGCTAGGGTTACAGGTGTGAGCCACCACACCCAACCCGATTCTGCATATCTAATAAACTCCTAGAAGACGGCGGTCTGTGGGTTGCAGGCTGGTGAACTTCGCTTTGAGGAGTGAGGCTCTAACCCCCCCATCCACCTTGGCCTCCTTCACCTTGGTCTGGGGCTGGAGGCCCTCTGGTGAGGGAGCACGGACTGGGGACTGGAAGGGGACAGGGACTTTCCACTGTCGCACTGGACAGGGGCCTCTCGGGGTCAGTCCAGAGGACAGGCCGTGCTAATGAGTAGTCCAGGCAGGAGAAGCCCCCACCCCCACCACACTGGGAGGACTTCAGGAGGGGCCGGGTGCCCAGATCTCTGGGCTCTGCCTTTCCAGCTACCTGGAGAAGGGTTTTTCAATGCTTGGGGCTGAGAGGGCCAGGGAGGTGTGTTCCTGGCCATACCTGTGACGTGTTCATCCCAGGTGGAGGTGAAAGCCACACTGTCAGATCCATCCACCCCACTCCCAAATGAGCCATCTCTCCTGCCCCTCTCTGTGCTGTCCCTACCACTTTGGCTGAGAAGCCTGTCGGTCCCGGGTGACCAGCAGAGTGGTCCAAGACGGGTCTGAAGGCCTGCTCGCGTCTCACGGAACTGGGCGGAGTGGACTCCAGCCGGTGTCTGTCCCCTTGGAAAATGGCCACAAGGCCTCAGGCTGCAGACTCTGACCTCGAGTTGTCCCCATTTATGCCTGCCCCTACACAATTCTTGTCCCCGTCTTGCGATGCAGGGCCTGGAGTCCCCCCTCCCTGCGGATTGCCACCCCGCCACAGGGCTCCCTGAAATAGCCTCCTCCCAACAGCCCACGCTGGGGCGCTGGGGGTTCGGGACCGGGAACCCCTCAGGGGCACACGAGAAGCAGGGGGTGGCTGTCAGCTCAGGAGCCTGACTTAACGCCAGGCCCAGCCCTGGCTGGCGGCCACTGGTCCCGCTGCCATCTGGTGTCCATCTGGCGAAACCAGGAGATTGGAGGGTGGAGGGGGCACACCCAGGCCTCCTGATAGACCAGGGCTCTCCTTGTGGGACCCTGAGATGCTAGGCTGGCCCGAGAAGGCCCCTCCCGTCCCCTCTGGAATTCTGGTCTTGTTATGCCTGGCACCTGGGGTAGCTGTCAGGATGCAGCAGAAGGGACCCCATAGGATACACATCCTGGCACCCCTCCACCCCCTAGCACAGAGCTGGCTTCTCATTTCTCCGATGGACCCCAACACCTAGAACGACTCTTTTTTTTTTTTTTTTGAATAAGTGTCTCTGTTACCCAGGCTGGAATGCAGTGGCACACTCAGGGCCACCACAGCCTCGACCTCCTGGGTCAGGTGATCCTTACATCTCAGCCTTCCAAGTGACTGGAACGACAGGTGTGTGCCCCCATGCTCAGTTATTTTTTTTTTTTTTTTTTGGTGGAGACAAGGGCTCCCCATGTTGCCCAGTCTGATCTTGAACCCGTGGGCTCAGGCCTCAGCCTCCCAAAGTGCTGGGATTGTAGGCATGAGCCACCGCACCTGGCTTAGAACAGCTCTTTTCGGCTTGGGTAGAGGGTGTTGACCGGTCTGGGCTGATGGAGCCCTTACCACACAAGGCTGCCCCTCCTGGGCTGTGTCTCAGGTCCCACTTGACGACCTGCCAAGGCCTCCGGGTGCTGGGTCCTCAGGATGTCCGTGTCCCATCTGTCTCCCCCAGCCAGAGAGCTCACCGCCCACAGCGCTCGTGCCTCGTCTCCCGAGCGGCCCAGGGCTCATCATCGCTAAGGCCTGGATTGTGTCTTCATCCAGGCGTGTGAGCCAGAAGCTGCCCCTCCCTCCATGCTTGGCCATCCACCAAGCCCACTGCTTGTTCTTGGGCCTCTAAGCACCATCACTCCCACCCTCATGCCTTAGTGTCCACTGCTCTGTTTACGGAGTAGGAGCGTGACCCACAGGAGACAAGAAGGAAGGATGGATTGGCCCCTGCAGCTCAGTTCCTGTTCCCATAGCCGGGGCGAGGGGGGCGCAGAGCATTCAGGGCCCAAGGGCAGGGGCTTCTAGAAGCCCCCACTGACAGGCAAAGAGCTGACACAGGCCTCTCCCCTCTCGCAGTCGCTGCTGTTCCTGGGGCTGGTGGCCGCCGTCGGCCTGGGCCTGAACCTCATCTTCCTGGCGGCTTACCTGATCTGCACGTGCTGTTGCAGGCAGAACGAGGCAGTGCAGACCAAGCAGCGCGAGTCCTGCTGCGTCACCTGGACGGCTGTGTTGGCCGGGCTCATCTGCTGGTGAGTGTCCTTCTGCACCAGCCCTGGTGGGCGGCCCAGTCTGCAGGGGGGCCAGGGCGGGGCAGCCTCAGCAGGCCTTGGAATGAAGAGCTGGCTTGCCACGGCCCGAGCCATCTGTGTCTCACCGATGTCTGGCCCTAGACCATGACACCTCCTCCTACCCCCTCATCGAGCCTCACATGGCTCTTGGGCTGTCTGACCGTGTTCTCCTGACCAGGCCCTGGCTACCTTAATGGAAAAGCTCGTCTCCAGAATGAATGCTGTCAGCATCAGGAATCAGATGCCGGGGGTAGCGACGGGATCTCCGGGGGAACCCCTGAACTAGAATGTCTGTCCAGCCCAGCAGGGCCGTGCCTGACAGCTGTGCAAACTACTCCCTGAGTTTACAGGCAGCATTCCTGGACAGTGGTCACCTCTGCCCTCTGGGTCCCTGTTCCCTCCCAGCTGCTACTCTGGGTCTGCGAGGTCAGAAGAAAGCCTGACTCCAGCCCATATCAGTTTCATCTCCTTGTGAGATCGATAGCTTTTAGTGCCATTAGCTGGTTCTTTGCTTTGAATGAGGCAAGGAGGATGCCTAACTTGTGTGCAGAAATCCAGGCCGCCTAGCCCCTCCACCCAGCGGTGTCCTCATGCACGCTGAGGGTTTGTATTGTTCCTGTTTCTGTATCTACAGAGGCTTTTCCAAAAGCCTGGTGTCCACCCTAAGAAGCTCTGGAGAGCAGTCGCCCGTGGGGTTTAGAGTATCACATACTCAGCAGTAGGACAGGAGCCAGACAGGACTCAGTGAGGCTGCCAGTGAGGACGCCTGGGTCTCTTCCCTAGCAGCTCACCTGCCCCCAAGATTCTCTTCTCTGTGATCACATGCTCTTGCCGGGCACGTGGCTCACGCCTTATAATCCCAGCACTTTGGAAGGCTGAGGTGAGAGGGATTGCCTGAATCCATGGGTTCAAGACCGGCCTGGGCAACTTGGCAAGACCTCATCTCTACAATAAATCCAAAAATTAGCCAGGCGTGGTGGCGTTTGCCTGTAGTTCCTGCTACTTGGAGGGCTGAGGTGAAAGGATCTCCTGAGCCCAGGAGGTCGAGGCTGTGGTGGCTGTGAGCATGCCACTGCACTCCAGCCAGAGTGACAGAGTGAAACTCCAACTCAAAAAAAAAGAACATGCTCTTGGCCAGACCCGCTGGTGCAAGCCTGTAATCCCAGCACTGGGGGAGGCCAAGGCAGGAGGATGGCTTGATTTCAGGGGTTCAAGACTAGCCCAGGCAACACAGCGAGACTCCATTTCTACAAAAAAATTAAAATGTATAAAAAATAAGAAAACACACTCTTGATCCTGTCCTGCCTGTGACATGGGACTCATCTGCCAACAGGCAGCCTTTCAGGGGTGACAAAGCTCTGAGCAGAAGAAGGGGACCCAGGCTGCTGAGACGTGTGGTTGGGGCTAAAAGAATAGATCCGGAGGACAGAGTTCTAACTGACAGTACGATTCCCAGTAGAGAGGAAGAGCTCCTGGTATTAAAAATCCTCCTGCTGGGCGTGGTGGCTCGCGCCTGTAATCCCAGCACTTTGGCAGGCTGAGGCTAGAGAATTGCTTGAGCCCAGGAGTTTGAGACCAGCCTGGGCAGCATAGTGAAACCACGTCTCTACAAAAAAAAAAAAAAAGAAGGAAAAAAATCCAAAAAATTAGCTGTGCATGGTGGTATGTGCCTATAGTCTCAGCTACTTAGGAGGCTGAGGTGAAAGGATCACCTGAGCCCAGGTCAAGGCTGCTGTGAGCTGTGACTGTCGTGATCATGCCACTACAATCCAGCCTAGGTTACAGAGTGAGACTTTGATTCAAAAAGAATGAAAACTAAAATAAATATTCTCCTGCCAAGGGCGTGCAACCATGCAGGAGGCATGGGAAGAGGCATGGCCTGGAGACAAGTGAAAAAATAAGGAGCCAGCAGTGCTTATGGCACCCCTGGCTCACAGGAACTCAGGGTTTTGGTTTTGGTTTGGTTTGGTTTGGTTTGGTTTTTCTTTAACACAACAAACTTGGGTTTTTTGGGTTTTTTTTTAAGTTGGAGTCTCACTCCATCACCCAGGCTAGAGTGCAGTGGCATACTCACGGCCACCACAGCCTCGACCTGCTGGGCTCTGGCGATTCTTCTGCTTCAGCCTTCCAAGTAGCTGGAACTACAGGCGCATGCTACCACACCCGGCTAATTTTGTTTTTATTGATTATAGAGACGAGGTCTCGCCAAGTTGCCCGGGCTGGTCTCAAACCCACAGGCTCAGGCAATCCACTCGCCTCGGCCTCCCAAAGTGCTGGGATGACAGGCTGAGAGCCACCGAGCCCGGCCAACAAACTTGTTTTTGACAAATACTTGGAGCCAATAAGAATGGCTTTGGGGACCAATTCCAATAAGTAATAATTATCACTGTGTAAGGAAAACCCAGGGCAGAGGGAGTGTGTGGGGCAGGATTTGTTCGCCGGCGTTCTATGCGCTACTAATGCCAGGCAAGGAGGAGCCAGCGGGGAGAAAACAGGTACGATTCTGCCCTCTTGCCCCTATAGCCCTGGTCTAGAGGGAGAGGCAGGGAACTGCACACTTGCTTGACCTGAGAACCACCACTGAGGAGCGGGTGCCCTGGAGGACAGGAATAGGTGTGAAATCAGATGGCCTTCCTGAGCTGGGCATCCCTCTGGGCAAGGGCACCGAGGCCTGTGGGATGAGAGGCGTCCACCAAGCGAAGGTGGGGCAAGGAAGGAGGCGATACCTCCAGGCAGAGGGAAGAGGAATATATGCAAAGGCCCTGTGGTGGGAGGGGCATGGCGCGGAAAGAACCCAGTGTGTCTGGAGCAGAGGGAGAAGGTGAGGGGCGGGGGTGCTGCTGGGGGCGGCGGTCAGCAGCGAGCAGCAGCATGAGAAGTCACAAGGAGGACAGGTGGGCTCCAAACCACACAGGAGCCTGCAGGCGATGTGAGGCCTTGGGATCCTTTGTTAAGGGCCATGGGAGCTGCTGCGAGCCAGGGGTCGGCAAGGAGGGAGGGCGGCTGGATAAGGAAGAAGCCGGGTCCACCGAGTATTCAGAACAGATGGACTCGAACGTGGAGAACGGTCACCGGGTGACCGAGAGCCCCGAGGCCTAGTGGGAACCGTGAGTGACCCAGAGATGAGCTATAACAGAAGCCATTACCACCTGCAGACCAGAGGGACAGGGAGAGGCCGTGTCACCAGAGCAGCTGGAACTGCGATCAGCCTTGAGCCACCCAGCAAACTCAGCAGCCACTACAGAGAGGGGACGGTACCCCAGCTTCCTCCTCCCATCTCCTGCCAGAACCCCAGGGGCGGAAGCCATCAGGAGCCAGCTGGCAGCAGAGCCAGAGAAATTCAGTGTGAGGGGTCAGCTCCCAGGGACGGGGACCTGAGCAGGGGACGCAGAGGCGCAAACTGAAGGGCAAGCAGGCTCAGGATGGGTCCGGTGATATGATTATCAAAATGACCACAGGGCAGAGGTTTGCGTATAGAGGAATAAGAGGCTGAGTGTGGTGGTTCAACACCTGTAACCCTAGCACTCTGGGAGGCCGAGGAGGGAGGATCACTTGAGGCCAGGAGTGCGAGACCAGCCTGGGCAACATAGCAAGACCCCACCTGTACAAAACGAAAAAAAAATTAAAAGTTAGCTAGCTGTGGTGGTACACACCTTTTAGTCCTAGCTACTCGAAAGGCTGAGGCAGGAGGATTGCTTGAGCCCAGGAGTTCATGGCTGCCATGAGCTATGATCACACACGGCACTCCAGCCGGGGTCACAAAGCGAGACCCTTTCTCAAAAAGCAAACAGAAAAAAAGAGACAAGAGTGAAACACAGGCTACCAGGGTGGTCCAGGCAGAGAGTGCCAGGCTCACACCAGGGTGTGGGCGGGGACGAGAGGACCAGTGCATGGACAGAGTTGGTGGGGGGGTGAGGGAGGAGGAGCTGCTGATGGCCATCCCCAGGTTTCTGGCTTAAGCACCTGGAAGGAGACGTGGCGCTGCCAGAGAGCCAGAAGAGAGGCAGACGGTCTCAGTGCGACTTTACATGGATTGAGTTTAAGGTGCTTTTGAAACATCCCAGTGCAGATGTAAGGTTGGAGTGATACATTCAGGCGTCAGCTGGTCTCAGTGGCTCAGCGTGTAATCCCACGCTTTGGGAGGCTGAGGTGAGTGGATTGCCTGAGCCCGCGGGTTCGAGACCCACCTGGGCAACT